ACAGGTAGGAAATGCAAACCTGGGGTGACATTGTGAAATGAATGACACTGAGGCAAGATGCTCTAAACCCTCTGTCACACCCGCATAAGGGCTGCTGGAGGGCACCTTGGCTGTGCCACAGCGCCAGCATGGGGAAAGCGCCCGCTGTTTAGCCAGCTAGGGAAGGAGACGTCCCGGAGGAGATAGGAGGAAACTCCGATTCTCCAAGCTCTTATGGTATGGCCTGACAGCTGTCAGGGAGGCCCACAGACAATGGGAGCTTACTTGTCTCTATGTGGTGCTGTGCTTCAGTGGTCACATTCCGTGTGTGTACCTGGTTCCTTTTTTCTTAGAAAAGATAATCAGTAAGAGTAACATAAATACTAATGTCTTTGTTCTTTCTTAACAAGTATGGAAAAGTGCTGCTGACACATTATGTTCCTTACCTCATCTCGGCTAGTTCCTGAGCCCCCACCTGTGCGCCACGCCCTATTTTGCCCTGTCCCCAGTCACCGACCACTAAGGCCACGCCCTACCTACGCCCTACCTTCACTGCCCCCAGATTTGCAACTCAATAAAAGTGAGAGCGTCGCGGCATTCGGGGCCACTGCTGGTCTCTGCGATTTGTGGACCCTTGGGCCCAAACTCTCTTTTCCTCTATCTCTTGAGTCTTCTGTCTTTTATTTATACAATTTCTCGTCTCCGTGCCAGCCGGGAGGGGATCACAGAACGCTGAAGGGCTGGACCTTACAATTATTATTATTTTTTGAGACAGAGTTTTGCTCTTATTGCCCAGGCTGGAGTGCAGTAGCCCGATCTCAGCTCATGGCAACCTCTGCCTCCCAGGTTCAAGCCATTCTTTCACCTCAGCCTCCCAAATAGCTGGGATTACAGGTGCCCACCATCACGTCCAGCTAATTTTTGTATTGTTAGTAGGGACAGAGTTTCACCATGTTGGCCAAGCTGGTCTCGAACTCCTGACCTCAGGCAATCCACCAGCCTCAGCCACCCAAAGTGCTATAATTACGGGAGTGAGCCACTGTGCCTGGCCGGAAAAATGAAGTTATTTCAGGGGATGACATGGGTGGTAATCTTTACGGGTTCTGAATCATTCTTAATCCCAGGGGTCCAAGATGCCACTGGCCTGCTGGTAGGAGGGAGGGCGTGTGGTGCTTAGGTGGTAAGGGGGTCCACAGACCTCATCTGTGGTTGTCTTTCCAGTTCCCAAGTGTGTAATTTTTTTTTTGAGACAGAGTCTCTCTCTGTTGCCCAGGCTGGAGTGCAGTGGCAAGATCTCGGCTCACTGCAACCTCCACCTCCCAGGTTGGGTTCAAGTGATTCTCCTGCCTCAGCCGACGGAGTAGCTGGGACCACAGGTGCATGCCACCACACCTGGCTAATTTTTTGTATTTTTAGTAGAGAGGGGTTTCACCATGTTAGCCAGCATGGTCTCAAATTCCTGACCTCGTGATTCACCCATCTCAGCCTCCCAAAGTACTGGCATTACAGGCGCAAGCCAGTGTGCCTGGCCCTGAATGTGTTAATTTTTTTTTCTTTTTTTAGAGATGGGGTTTCACCATGTTGGCCAGACTGGTTTTGAACTCCTGACCTCAAATGATCCACCTGTCTCGGCCTCCCAAAGTGCTGGGATTACAGGTGAGAGCCACCATGCCCGGCCTGAATGTGTAATTTTAACAGTCACACTTGACAACTGGGAAACTCCCACACTGACTTGCAGAGCAAGAGCCAGCCGGGTAAGAAGGGCCAGGTGGACGTCTCCTTTCCAGGGTAGTAGTCCAAAAGCAAAATGCGTGGCTGACTTGGAAGAGTTTTGCATGGGTGATTCACCTGGGAAGAAGGCGGGTGGCCCTTGGGGATGTGGTTAATGTCAAAATGTGTGCCCTGAATGAAGAGACCCCCAAACAAGCTTTGTGTGGGCAACATGGCTGTTTATTCATCTGGGTGCAGGTGGGCTGACACCGAAAAGGGCATCAGCAAAGGGCGGTGGCACAGGAGTCGGTTTCATAGGTTTGGGGTGGGCAGTGGAAAGTTACAGAGTAAGGTCAGTTATGGTGGTGAGGTGGGGGCAGGGAGTATACATTACCGGAAGTTCAGTTACAATGGCGGGTGGGGTAAGAGTAGTTGAGCGGTGAGGTGATGACTACAGCTAGCGTTCGACTTACGACCACGATTGGTTCGGACAGACCGGTCGTAACACGATTTGGTCGTAAGTTGAGTAGGCTATATGTATAGTACTGTGAAATGTAAAAATCTTTAAGTCATTTTATCATAATTTTCTTTCATTATTGTTATATAATTTTCTTTGTTCATTTTATGCCATTTGTATCATCTCTACACCATTTTATTTTTACATTCGTAAGGTTTAAGTAAAACACTGCATTACCAGTACAACTGGTTTAATATTTGCAAAACATACAAAATACAGGTGCATACAAAAATACAAAATACAGGTGTAAAAAATACCATAGGAAACATTTTCTTTTCTTTTTTTTTTTTTTTTTTTTTTTTTTGCGACGGAGTTTCACTCATGTTACCCAGGCTGGAGTGCAATGGCGCGATCTCGGCTCACCGCAACCTCCGCCTCCTGGGTTCAGGCAATTCTCCTGCCTCAGCCTCCTGAGTAGCTGGGATTACACCACCATGCCCAGCTAATTTTTTTGTATTTTTAGTAGAGACGGGGTTTCACCATGTTGACCAGGATGGTCTCGATCTCTTGACCTCGTGATCCACCCGCCTCGGCCTCCCAAAGTGCTGGGATTACAGGCTTGAGCCACCGCGCCCGGCCTAGGAAACATTTTCCCAATTGCAAAACATATCAAAATATATAAACATGTACGAAACATTTTATTGGCCGCTGGTGCTTGGCTGCAGATTGTTGATGTCGTCATCTGAGACAGCAGTTGGGGTTATTGGAGTTCGTTTTTTCATAAACATGGTGAGCTTTGTCTGAATTGTACGTCTCTTTGTTTCTTCATAAATTTCACGATACGGACGAAACACATCGTGCGCCATCCATTCAATCCTTGCAAATCGTTCGATGTTTGGGTCCATTGCTCCGAAATGTATAAGAAGTTTATTGGAGCCGGGCGCGGTGGCTCAAGCCTGTAATCCCAGCACTGTGGGAGGCCGAGGCGGGTGGATCACGAGGTCAAGAGATCGAGACCATCCTGGTCAACATGGTGAAACCCCGTCTCTACTAAAACTACAAAAAATTAGCTGGGCATGGTGGCACGTGCCTGTAATCCCAGCTACTCAGGAGGCTGAGGCAGGAGAATTGCCTGAACCCAAGAGGCGGAGGTTGCGGTGAGCCGAGATCGCGCCATTGCACTCCAGCCTGGATAACAAGAGCGAAACTCTGTCTCAAAAAAAAAAAAAAAAAGAAAAAAAGACGTTTATTGGGAGGGGTTTGATGAAAAATATCCAAGACACAAAGCACCAATTGCTGTACCAAGTCTGGGATAACAGTTGAAATGGTGCACGCGGAGATGGTAGTGCTGCCGGAAGCTGGTCCGCACTGTCGTACGCACAGCTGGGCAATGTTTGCGCTGCCAGACGCGGAGCAGTCGTGGCTAGCGATTGTGGTCGGAAAGTTGACGATTGTGGTCGGAAAGTTGAATGGTCGTAAGTTGCATAGGTCGTAAGTCGATCAATACCTATATTCACATTACAGCGAGGCAGGCAGGACTGCAGACTTTCTGGGTCCGGGCCTGCACATGGAGGCCTGACAGTTAAGGAGGACAGGGATGACTCCATGCAACTGCTTGCTGCTCCAGAGCCTCATCACCAGGACAAATCCAGCTCACAGGTTTTCTCTGTGACTACCAGGACCCATCTGCGTACCCTCCACCTACTGCACAGCTCAGCAGAGCCGTGTTCGGGCTCCTGCTCTCTGCCCTCATCTGCTCAGAGATCTGGATCATCTGCACCCCTCAGAGGACAACCTTATGGAACTGGGTGAGTTGAAGTATCAGGTGCTTTGGGAGGCAGAGGCAGGTGGATTGCTTAAGTCCACGAGTTCGAGACCAACCTGAGCAGCACATGAGACCCCATCTTTACAAAAAATACAACAGCAAATTAGCAGGGCGTGGCGTTGCACGCCTTGGTCCCAGCTGAGGTGGGAGGGTGGTTTGAGCTCGGGAGGCAGGGGTTGCAGTGAGCTGAGATCACCCCTGGAACTCCAGCCTGGACAACAGGGCAAGACCCTGTCTCAAAAAAGCCCACAGAACAAGCAAGCGCTGGCGACGCCTCAGGCAAGGGGGCCCCGCCGGGGGTCGGCCCTCCTCGGGACAGCAGGTCCTGTCAGCAGGAGCCCTCGCCGCGGGCTTCGTTCTGGAGAACGCTCCGGAGGCTGCGTGGGCATCTAGGGCTGCGCCGGGCCTACTTCCTTCCCTACCTGGAGGGAGCCGGGGCGCCGGAGGTCCGCAGGGAACGCAGGACGAGGGCGTGGCCGCGACCCTCGGGTGCCAGTCGGGGCGGGGCTGGGCGGAGGGCGGGGCTGGGCGGGGGGCGGGGCCTGGTAGGCGCACGGGGCGGGGCTGGACGGCGGGCGGGGCCTGCTAGACGCAC